ACACTGCCCAGTCTTGTACCATCCTCAAAATTGTTGTTACGCTTGAGCCCATTGCTGCTGTCACTGTGCCAGTTCATCTTGTTGGGGATCTTCTTCTTTGTCGTTGACCCTCACTTTACCAAGCATGACATCCATCTCAGGGATGGGTCCTCATGATAATAAAATCTCACCATCCTGACTTCTAAGCATTCTGTTTGCTCTTCAGGAAATCCATGGTGCTTTTAATATTCTTCTCCAGCTGTTATAGTCATTGTTGTTTGGTGCCTTCAGTTTGTGCAAAAGAACAAAACACTGCCCAGTCCTGCACCAACATCACAATTGTTGCTATGCTTGAGCCCAATGCTGCTGCCACTGTGTCAATCCATCTTGTTGATGGGCTTCTTCTTTTATTCTGACCCTGTATTGTACCAAGCATGATGTCCTTCTTCAGGGACTATTTGCTCCTCATTTCATGTCCTCATCTTAATCTGATTTGAACCTCTGGAAGTTCCCTGTCATTATGCTATTGTAGATGTTTCTTAATTATCTTCAGCAAAATTTTACTGCCATGTGATATTAATTATATTATCTGATGATTTCTGCATTTCATTGGGTCACCTCTCTTTGGAATGAGCACAATTATGTATCTTTTCCAATAAGTTTGTCAGGTTGTTGTTGTTGTTGTTAGGTGCCATCGAGTCGATACCGACTCATAGTGACCCTATGCACAACAGAACAAAACACTGCCCAATCCTGGGCCAACCTCACTACTGTTGCCACGCTTGAGTCCATTGATGCTTCCACTTGGCCAATCCACCTCGTTGAGGGGGTCTTCCTTTTTTTCTCTGACCCTCCCCCTTACCAAACATGATATCCTTCTCCAGCAACTGCTCCCTCCTCAAAAAATGTCCAAAGTATGAGAGACGAAGTTTGGCCATCTTGGCCTCCAAGGAACTTTCTGCCTGCACTTCTTCCAAAATGGATCTATTGGTTCTTTTTGCAGCCCATGGCACTTTCAATAGTCTCCTCCAACACCATAACTCAAAGGCATCAATTTTTCTATGGTCTTCCTTATTCACTGTCCAACTTTCACATGCATATGAGGTTATTGAAAACACCATGGCTTGGGTCAGGCGCACCTTAGTCTCCAAGCTGACATCTTTGCTCTTCAACACTTGAAAAAGGTCTTCTGCAGTAGATTTGCCTAATGCAATACGTTGTCTTATCTCTTGACTGCTGCTTCCGAGTTTGTCAGGTAGCTATCTTCCAAATTTCTTGGCGTAGATGAGTGAGTACTGCATCAGTTTGTTGAAATATTTCAATTTGTATTTCATCAATTTCTATAGCTCAGTTCTTTGCCAGTGCCTTCAGGCACCTTGGACTTCTTCCTTCAGTACCGTTGGCTCTTGATCATATGCTACCTCTTGAAATGGTCAAATGTCAACCATTTCTTTTTGGGACAGCGACTGTGCATCCATCCATCTTCTTTTGATGCTCTCTGCATCATTCACTATTTTGCCCATGTTGTTGTTAAGTGCCGTCTAGTTGGTTCCAACTCATAGTGACCCTGTACAGGGTTTCTGAGGATTTTGCCCATAGAATACTTCAATATTGCGAGTCAAGGCTTGAATTTTTTCTTCAGTTCTCTCAGCTTGAGAAATACTGAGCGTGTTCTTTCCTTTTGGTTTTCTAACTCCAGATGGGTTCATATTTTATTATAATATTTAACTTTTTCTTCTTGAGCTGCCCTTTGAAATTATCTGTTCAGTTCTTTTACCTCCTCATTTCTTCCATTTGCTTTAACATCTCTACGCCGAAAAGCAAGTTTCAGAGTCTCTTCTGAAACTGTTTTAGTCTTTTTCTTGTCTTCTTAATGATCTTTTGCTTTCTTCCTATATGATATTCTTGTCATGTCATCCCATACTGGACTTTGGTCATTAGTGTCTAATGTATCAAATCTGTTCTTCAGATGATCTCTAAACTCAGGTAGGATATGTTCAAGGTCATATTTTAGTTTTCATGGGCTTATTTTCATTTTCTTCAGCTTCAGCCTGAAAGTGCATTTGAGTAATTGCTGATGTATTCCACAGTCTGCCCCTAGCCTTGTTTTGGCTGATGATATGGAGCTTTTCCACCATCTCTTTCCACAGATGTAGTCAATTTGATTTTTGTGTGTTCCATCTGGTGAGGTCCATGCATTTAGTCATCTTCTGCATTGCTTAAAAAAAAAGAATTTGCAATTAAGTCATTGGTTTTGCAAAATTCTATCTCCAGCATTGTTACTATTACCAAGGCCATATTTTCCAATGACTGATCCTTCCTTTCTGTTTCTAACCTAGGCATTCCAATCACCAGTAATTATCAATACATCTTGATTGCATGTTTGGTCAGTTTCAGACTGAAGAAGTTGGTAGAATTCTTCAATTTCATCATCACTGGCTTTAAATTTGAATAATAGTAGTAGTAACTGGTCTTTCTTTTAGGCGTATGGATATTATCCTATCACAGACAGCATTGTACTTCATGACAGATTTTGATATCTTCTTTTTTGATGAGGAGGGCAACGCCATTCATCCTCAATTTGTCATTTCAGGCATAGTGACCCATGTGGTTGTCAGATTCAAAATGACCAGTACCAGTTCATTTGACCTCAGCAATGCCTAGGAGTTTAATGTTTATGTGTTCCATTTCATTTTTAACAACTTCCAGTTTTCCTAGATTCATACTTTGTACATTTCATGCTCTGATTATTAATAAATATTTACAGCTGTTACTCCTCATTTTGGGTTGTGCCCCATCATCACAGTCAACTCTACTTTGAGGAGGCAATTCTCCCTCCATCATATTTGAGTCCTTCCACCAGGAGGGGTTCATCTTCTGGTACTATATCTGATAATATTCTGGTGCTCTTCATCATGATTCAGAATTCAATATTCTGATAGTATCTGACACTGTTCTACTGCTATTCATTAGGTTTTCAGTGATTTAATATCAGGAAGTAGTTATCTTTCCTTCCTAGTCTATCTTAGTTTGAAAGCTCAGCTGAAACATGTCTACCATGTTGTTAAGTGCCATTGAGTCGGTTCTGACTTTTAGTGACCCTTTATAGAGTTTCCTAGGTGAGTTTGAACCGCTGAGCTTGTGGTTCAAACAGACATTATGGTCAAGTGCTTATCCTACAGCACCACGCCAGGACTCCATGGTATTTTAAAATTGGTGGCATAGCGTCCAGATGCTAGCCACCACAGTTGGACAAATGGACAGCCGAGTGATGTTTATTCCATTTTTCTAATTAAAATGGGGTTCTTAGGTATAGGATTCACTCTGGGGTAGAATACCAATTTTTCTAGTCATCCTTTTATTCACAGTACTGACAGTTCTGTATCCAAAACTTTTTTTTCCGAAACCATTTTTCGAATCAGTCAGAAAGTGTTGCGACCTATAGTTGTGTAATGTCCTTGATGAAGTAGTGTGATCTGCTCACGTGGAGTTTAGGCATGTATGAAGCTGGAAATGCTAAAGAAAATGGTTTGTCTCTTTCATGTATATGGAGGCAATACATACATCAAACTAATCCTGAAATCCTATTTGTAGTTCATTTGGTACATTAAAGCATCGAGTATCATCAATTCATGGCAACAACACAAAGGAAGTTGCATTATGCTAGGACTGAAACATTTTGGAGTTATTGAATGGTGTAAATGGTTAAGCGCTGGACTACTAACTGAAAGGTTGGAGCTTCAAACCCACCCAGAGTCACCTTGGAAGTATAAGGCCTGGCCATCTGTTTCTGAAAGAAAACCTAGAGCATGTCTACTCTGTACCCGTAGGGGCTCTGAGTTGGAATCCACTCCAGAGCAACTAACAGCAAAACTTACATTACATTTTTCATCATCTTTCATTAAATTGGATTCCTTATCGCTCCAGAAATATCTATCATTTTGCCAGATATCATTCTGAATTCAATGTTTCTGAGCAATTTCATTTCCAATACAGAATGATGGTGGCAGAATCAGGATTCTAAGATACTCAAACAACTTGGGTTATGTATTTCAGCACTTGCCAGTTAGCGTGCAGGACTCGGTGAGGGAAATTTAAAAAATTCACAAATATATATATACAAAGTAAGTTGAGTTTTTCTAACTGCTCCAGGTCCTCCTCTGAACACCAACAAAATGAGAAATCTGGGTAAAAATCATGATGAAGATAGTTTGTCCTCGATAGCTTTTTCCTACTCCAGTTTCTCTTCCCCTAGATACTTTGAGTGGGAAAAAATTTGAACCTTTGTTAATTCGTATTGTGACTCATGTTTTATGTATGGTAAAAAAAGAAAAGTTGTCTCTTTCTCTGCCCAGGAATTATGCACTCCCCAGAGACAGGGAGATTGAATGTCGTATTTCCTTTCGAATTAACACTAATGGGGGAGGGGAGGGCATGTCAGGATTAAGAAACAAAAAGTGAGGGAAGGAAGAAGGAGGGGTGGGTCAGAGCTGACTGGAGGTTTCTTGGGCTCAAGACGAGGCCCCACAGCTCTCGAATCCCCTCCCAGTACCGCCGGGCCCCGGGTTGGCCATGCAGTTCCGGCTCGCTCAAAAGCAAGCATGCATAGACTCTCCGGATTCTCCTCCAGAAATTCTTCTTCGGATTCTCCTCCAGTTTCTGGTCCCACGTGCCTCAAAGGGACCTGAGCGCCGGTGGCGCGGCTGCAGACCCAGGCCCCACCTGGGTCCACCGGTCTCCTGACTGCAGGGGGCGCTGCAGAGGCGCCAAGTCTTCGCGGCAAAGACCAACCAGAGGTGGGAGTCTGGAGACGCGGGGCTGGAATCCCAGCGCCCGCAGAGGAAGAGCAGCGACGTTGGGATCTGAGGGGAAAACCGGACGATTCAGTGCCGGTCCCGGGTGACTCCCTCAGTGACGCCGAGCGCGTTCCTTCCTCTTCCTCTCTCTACTCCGGCCCCGCCTTCCCTTCCCTCCTCCCACCTCCTCGAAGTGGAGCTGCCGCCGCCGCCTGCAGCGCCGTCATGTCGGCCCCTGTCGGGTCCCCTCACCCGACCACCAACCCCCGAATCCCGCCCAAACTCGGCGGA